GGCGCACTGATGGATGGAACGACAATGGCGGTCCAGAGTCTTCCCTCCCTTCATCAGCGCAGCGGTATATACACCACGACATGCGCACGAGAAACCCGTTGATTCACTCCCATACTCATGATTGACGTGTCATCTCATGCATCCTGCAGCACTAGGAAATGCCCATGGACGTATCTTTGAGCTAGTGTCATCGCTTCCGCCTTCATTGCCACACACCCAACGACCAACCAGCAAGGTAGGGATGCCTGTGAGCACGAGCAGCTTGACAAACAAATCGAGTGTGTGTCTGCATCCCTTGTGTGTCAGGTTGGCTGGTGAGATTGGCAGTGCGTGCACTCATAGTAGCATCATGCACACGATGAGCAAGAGTAGTCCAGTGTAGCCCAGACCCGTTGCTTTCTGGTTGAGGTACCACACAGCCAGGGTACAGATAGACGGATAGACGATAGCAGTCATAGTCAGGTTGATGACAAACGTTGCTGCGCATCCTAAGCAAGATGCCACATAGCTGACGAATGCCGTTGTCATAGCAGTCATCTGCGTCACCATGGTTGTCAGGGTCGTCAGTAGATACCCCATATAAACAGCCACATAAACAACGAGCAGATGGGCCACATAATAGACGATAAGCACAACCACACAGCTTGTGAAGACGGGAAGCATAAAGAAGCAACACTTGACGTAGCAGCCTCGCGCGACTTTGTTCAGCCACGTCAGGAACTTCTGTGTCCTCTGTTTTGACATCAGCACCCAGACAGTGACGTAAGTTACCGCCAGTGCCAGGGCGTTCGGCCAGTCGATAGTGAAGTCCCCTATATGCAGCTCCAGCTTCTGAGCCACAGAGCAGTGTCCTTGATAGCCATAAGCGTGCCGGGTGCCCCATTGCAGAGGTCGAGGCCCACAGCAGCTAGTAGCAGCCAGAGGAGAGACAACCCGGGGTCAGTCAGGTAATGTCCCAGCCGCAACGACAGACGAAAGAAGGCGGCTAGGTAAAGATCAGAGAAAACCTGAGCTCATCTTTGTGAGACACGGCCAGAGAGTGTTTGCTTCTTCTGTCTCTCTCAGTCAGTGAGTTGTCTTTGTCGGTTTCTGCTGTGTGTCCGCCAGTCACCAAGCGCTTCGGCTCTTAACCTGTCGGATAAATAGCGTGCTCAAGTTGCTCGTAGAGTAGTTGATGACCAAGCAGATGGAGTCAGAGTCTTTTCTCTTTGGAAAGACCCAGTGTGTAACGCACTGCAAGGCTATGGCGTTGGGCCCAGAATAGCAGGCTCCGTTTCACGAAGCTACCTAGCCCCAGACGGAATTCCGTGGGTCAGACGGTATTTCGGTGGGCTCTGCTGCTCGTTTGACGTAGCAGCCTAAGCTCGGGCTTGAGTGCCCTTCGACATTGCGGACAATCTTACCCTTAACCACCACCTATATGTTGCTGATCTTTGCTATTGATGGCGTCTGACTCATCAGCGTCGCCTCCTCGTTCGCCCTCGCTGCTGACAAAGGAGGCCTACTGGTCCTCATTCTATACGGACGAGCAGCACACGTACGAGTCGTCAGGCAACGAGGGCGAGGAATGGTTCGAGGGCCAGGTCGACAACATCGTTGAATGGCTCGTCAACGACCTCATCGGGCCCTCTCGCGCGCCGACGCTGTCTGTTCTCGATGTCGGCATGGGCAACGGGCTGTTCCTGGCGCGGCTGGTGGACGAGGGCTTCACGAATCTGCACGGCATCGACTATGCCGAGTCGGCAGTGCAGTTCGCGCGGCGGCTGATGGAGGACAGGAGGGGCGACTGGCCTGACGGTGTGAGTGTGCGGTTCGACCGGCTTGACGTGCTGGCTTGTGAAGAGGAGCTGAGGGCGGTGCTGCGGGAGGGGGGCTACTCGCTGGTGCACGACAAGGGCACATTCGACGTCATGTGGATGAGAGGACAGGCGGGCGACGATTCTGCGATTGAGGGGTACCTTCGCTTCCTCGATTGTGCGGTTGCGGCCGAGGGGCTGTTTGTGGTGACGTCGTGCAACTGCACTGATGAGGAGCTCCAAGCGACGTTCGGTGGTTCGTTTGAGCATGTGTCATCGCTGGCGCATCCGTCGCTAGCCTTTGGGGGGCAGACAGGGCAAGTTGTGAGCACTGTAGCGTTCAAACGAAGACAGACGGACTGAGAGCGAGCGTTGGCTGTCGGCTGCTGGCTGTTATATATGTGCCTTGCCTTAGAGCAACTGGTGCGTGGTGTGATGTTTATGGGCCATTCATGCAGTCAGTCACGTGTCAGTCTTGGGATCTCTGTCTGTTGTGTCAGATCAAAGGTTGTTTCATAACACTTGGACACGGTTCAATCCATGGTGTTAAGTCACAGCTGTCCTCTCGCATGCACACCGATGGGCAAACGAAGGACAACTTGTGAAATGCAGCACAGCTCATTGATGGAAAAAAAGGCTGAACTCTTCAAGAGCTTGCAAAGCTAACGAACAGACTCGTCGTCTCGGCACTCGTCTTGGTCACGGAAAGTTGACTGCAGGCTGACCATCTTGTCGGGCTCCTGCTTGACGACCCCGAGCAGAATCGGCACTTCGCTGTCATCATTGGCGAGGTTTTTCATCCCACTCCGCATCCCGCCCCACCCACTCTCAGACACCTGATGATCTACTCTGCCGGCCAGGCAGCCGCGGGCGGTTGGTGCCACTGGGGTTGGTGAGACAGGACTCATCTGTCGGGCTGAGGAGAAAGGACACCACATTACAGACAACAGCAAATGACACAAGGTCATCCATCCAGTCACACGATGCGTACCCGATAGATCTTGACAGCGACTCTTTTGTTCTGTAACGGGATCAGGGAGCAGTAGAACCCCCTAGCCTCCCCCTTCACCTCCTGGCGCACCATGCCGAACAGCATGGCAACCTTTCCTATGTCGCCTGGGAAAGCCTTAATCTCCGCCGCGTCAGGCCCCCCAACCCACTCAGCCGCAGCGATGATCAGCTCCTCATACGGGACCTCTGCGTAGCTGTGTATGCTGATCTCCCGGCGCACCTGAACCAGAAGCCCCAGTGCGACCTTGTTGGCCACGCGCCGCATTGCCTCGTCCCTCCGCGAGGCTCGCTCCTGTTCCGATGGCGGCGGGCCCTGCAAATCACTCTCAGACACCTGATGCACACGTCACCAACGAATCGCATCTCAGTGGCTGCGCAGGCGAACGAGTGTGTGCTCGTGCGGTGTGCGTGTGGTTACATCGATGCCGAAGAAGCGCATCTCGCGGATCAGCTTGCGCGTGTCGACGGAGGCGTCGATGAGCAGCGGCAGTCCATCCCGGTAGTAGTCGAGTACATGGGAAAACAGCGCCGGGTCACGGTCGATGAAGACGGGCTGGCCTTGTTGGATCAGCTAATACTCGGCCGTCGACTCGTTGGTCACCAGCTGCCCCAGCAGCGTGTGTGGGTGGATGGCCAGTGTCGACTTGGCCACACTGAACTCACGACCGCCGATATTCAAGCGAACGAAGCTCGTCATCTGCAGAGATCAACACACACAGAGATTAGCTGGTGCTCCACTGCTCCTCATTTCTAAGCTCGCAAATGGAATCCACTGAGCATTTTGTCCACAGAATGGTGCATTCTTCGCTCACACCGGCTCAATGACACGTCAAGGACACTGTCCCATCCTTCGTTGAGCGTTTGAAGTGCCAGATTTTTTGCGAGCTCGGCCCCATTGATCGACACTATTTCAAACTCGACAGCCCTCTCCTTCCTGTTCCGAGGCGTAAAAGGTTGCCGCCCCACTGTAATCAGTGGACAGAGACCTTTTCGGGCAGCCGCAAGGGCTTGAAAGTGGCCTTCCGCCGCCGGGGCCCCGAGAAGAAGGGCCTGACCGATCTCCCCGCCCTCTGGCCGTGATGCCGGCCAACGAAGAGGGTGAGTGGTGCCTGGGTGGGGGGGCTTGGCCACTCATTGCAAGGGCTGGATGCATCGATGATTGCATGGATGGAATCTCCCCGGCCCCTGTCCTTCTCACTCCATCCGCATATGTGCCTATGTGTGTGCGTATGTGGGTGCCTGACTCAGTGCAGGTGAGCCTGCTGACCCCCGTGCCACTGCCAGCCGTCCCCCCAGCTTCACCGTCTTCCTCTTCGACTATGATGACACGTACGCCAGACACTATCAATTGAGAGCTAAATGCATCATCCATCCCCGTGCTGCTGTATGTGTATCTGTCCTCTCTCGGTGCTCTGTGCAGCCTGTTCCCCACCTCGGCCCACGACAACGTGGAGGAGGCGGTCCGCGAAGGGACGATGACAGATGAGGAGGGACGGGCCAGACTCGCCAAGTGCGCCGCATCGGCGCTGCGGCTGCTGGAGCGGTGCGTCCTGAGGGGGCAGATCATCATCTGCTCCAATGGCGACCGCTCCTGGTCAGTGGG